GGTAATGCAACATCAAGAGGCTGAGAGATCAGAGGCATTTGGGCCTCAAAGACAGCCAGTGTGGAGAGGTATAGTGTGGAAGGCTAAGAAGGCAACACAGGGTCCGGGCAATGAGATAATAAGCCACAGACCTCATCCTGACTCTGACACTGCACAGACTGTCTGAGTTTGGGGAAGATGTACCTCATTTCAGCCTGTAGGTGGCCTGCAGGTTATAGCAGATGATCTCTTATGTTCCTTCTAATTACAGCTGGGAATTATTTCATGATTTCCAATTTAAAGCTAAATGCCTGAGATAGTGATGCTGGAGGATCCCAAGTTTGAACCCAGCCTGGACAACTTAGTAAAACCCTGTTTCAAAATTTAAAAATAACCTAAAAGGGGATGGGTATGTAGCTCAGTGCAAAGGCCCTGAGCTCCATCCCCAGTGCCACACACAAAAAACATTTAATGTCAGTCAAGGGCAACTATAACTAGAAGAAGAGACTATTCCAATTATACCAAGCAGCCTTCTACCAAATGTTCCCTGGCCTGTAGGAATGGAATCTCTCTAATCATTCAAGGTTCAATAGTACATAGCACTGAAAAGTTGCATTTACCTTCCTGCAATCATGAGCTCTCTCTCAGTTGCCCTCTTCCGTATCTTGGTGTAGACATCCATGGTAAAGAGCGTGCTGGCGCTGTTGAAGATGGAGGTCAGGGAGCTCATGAGAGAGGCCATCATGACTGACAGCATCAGGCCTCGCAGCCCTGGGAAGAGAAAGAGTTTCTGAGTGACACACGCCACACCTGGGTTCTTTTGCCTGAGGGCTCAAGGTTTTTTGGCATTCTGAAACCATGCCATGTTCTCCAACTTATCTCTCCAGAAAGAATGGCTGTTTTAAGAAATGGATTGTGGCTTTACATTATATTATAAGCCCACAAAAGACAACAAAGAACTAGAGATAAAACATCTACGAATTAAATACTTTGAATGATAGTGGATGTCGTGGTGGTGGTGGTGGTGATGGTATGTTTCTGCCTGAAGGGACTTTTATAAAAAATCTCACTCAAAATATCCATGATACAGTTGAAAGACATTTAAGCTAGGATCCAAAATATGAAATTCTCAAGAAAGTGGGGCTGGGGATTTAGCTCAGCGGCAAAGCGCCTGCCTGGCAAGCGCAAGGTCGTGAGTTCGGTTCCCGGTACCGGAGAAAAACC